GACGATTTGTTTTTAAATAATGTGGCCGGTCACTGTTTTTAACTGACAATACACTTTACACGACAAAACAAAATCACATAAAGTCCAAGAAAAACCTTGTCTTTCTTTTGTTCTTTCAACCAGCTGACGTTTCTTTGAACAAGTAGGCATGGCGAAACATTATTATAGTTATTCAGCAAAACACTTGTCTATAACAAATCAGAAAGTCTGACTGAACCAATTTAACCAATTAATTATTGTTTCTAATGTCTAAGTTTCTGATGACATAAACGTAATTGGAATTAGACTACTTTCATTGACTATGTCGGGTCATGTCATTGTTAATTCATAACGGAGAAGTTTACGCCCGTTTTTTCTTTTGATGATTCCACCCGTTGCATCCCATGAAGTGACTGAATTTGATGAAGAACATAAATCACCGAATAATCGTATCGATGCTCCAGTATACCCAATTATATGTGAAGGAGTTTTACAATAAACTAGTACCGCATCTGGTACTTTTCCATCATTGTTCATTTCATTTTTCAAATTTTTCGTTAATTTCGCTAATGCTTCATCTTCATTCGGATCTAACTATGTATCATTAATAGCTCTGGCTTTTACCTTATTAAATGTTTTTTGTGTTGAACCGGTTACATCATAATTAAGTGTAGACGTTTCCAATAATGTTCTTTTTCGAGTATATTCTTATGTACCTTTTTAACCGTCATTCTATCTTTATATTTCTTGTTTAATAAACTGCGAACTGGTGCACGAATTCGACGACAATTCGTGCGCTAATATGATGTTCTATTTCGTCGTCTGTCACAATTATACAAACATTAAAAACACTTTCTCTTACTCATATCGATCAGCTCTATCCAATCTTGTAGAAAAGAACAAAAACGAAAATTTAACTAGAAGTGTGAAATATACACACGTTACAAACAGATCAAGAAAGAAAAGACACGTGTAAATAATAATGGCAAATGACACAAACATCATTATACTTGAATGATAAAATGCATTAGATAGAGCAGGTAGATTCACTGAACCGAATATTTTCAATTTCAAACGATAGCATTGATAGACGGCAGTCGTGAATATATGCAGAAGGTGCTGTACGTCCAGACACAGGCAAGCCTGCGGGTAAGCTGTAGGACAACAGCTTTGTTACATGGCTGGCGTCAGTATCCAGTCCAACCATTCACGGCTTGTTTAGATGACTCTTGTCAGATAGTTTGTTTTACTGATCTGTTGTATTATATGATAATTCGTTTTATTTTTCTGTTTAGTTAAGATGCCGATAAGGTACACTCGCAGTTAAAAATAGATTTCGTAGATCACTTTCAATCAAATTGAATTGATAAGATGATGGTAGCGTTTAAGAGTAGATTTTCTTGATTGGTGTATTCACAGTCACCGAAGCCGTAAGATGCCGATAAGGTACACTTGCAGTTAAAAATAGATTTCGCTGATTTATACACCATTCGACAGAGAATCTAACGGCGGTCAGAATGTTGGGATCTCTAGATTTTTGAGAGAGTTTTTTCCCGTCGAAAAATCGAGAAAACTTGAGGTGATCCGAAAACCGGAAACACACCCGTTTTTAGAAAAAGGTCTATAGTTTCGCCGTGAAACGTTGTAGAGTTTTCTGCTTGGAATATTCAGATTCAGCATTGAAAACTGAATCCAGCAATGTGCTTTCAAAGTTTCAAACCGAAAACTAAATTTTGGGCGAACACCGAAACTGACATGTAAGGACGTACATCCAAACTTCGGAGACCTATCTAGTTTTTGGTTGAAGGTCGTATAGTTTTTTTGGTCAGAAGATGGAGCTAAATTTTTTATGCTATTTGAATCGCCAGTCTGCGAGCGACAAAAACACCTATAGCTTTTCTCAAACTTTTCACCATTCGAAAGAAAATCCACTTTTATCGAAAATGGCATGTTCTTTATGTTTCAAACTTTAAAGCGGAATATTTCAGTGATGGAGCCGTCTAAAACGCTCAGCAGGATCTCATTTTACTGAAAATTGGGAACGACTTGCTGGCAATAGAATATGTACTTTCTAACCATTCTCGTTTAAGAATGTTTGACTTATTGTCGAAAATAATACTCGCATCGAGTTTGATTTCTTTTTAACATGAAACAGCATGTTTAGCGATCTCTAGGAATTCAACTTACGTTTTGATTACAGAATTTTGATGTTGTTTTATTCTCTTGTCAAAACACTCATTTCCACCTACATACAATGAATTGCACTCGCAATAAATATCGTATATAGTATTTTTGCAACCCTACATGGTTTTTGAAGTCTCTCTCTAACTGATTGCACGCTACCAGTCGAATGATATATATCTCAAATTTTTTCGTTGATTTTCATTTTTTGATGAAAATCTCAGTAATTCTTCGACGCGAAAATTCAAAAACATTAAAGTGATCGAATAAGATAAAAAAAGTACATCATTCGAATGCCACCGTTAGATTCTCTGTCGAATGGTGTATAAATCAGCGAAATCCATTTTTAACTGCAAGTGTACCTTATCGGCATCTTAACTAAACAGAAAAATAAAACGAATTATCATATAATACAACAGATCAGTAAAACAAACTATCTGACAGAATCATCTAAATACTGACGCCAACCATGTATCGGCATCTTAACTAAACAGAAAAATAAAAAGAATTATCGTATAATTTTTGATGCAAGGTCATACGGAGTTGTGCTAGATCTT